TCATTATGGGAGAACGAAGGACGGTGTTTAAAAAGACGAGGGGCTGTGTCAAACCTGTTTGTTTTTATAAATCTCTCATGCAAACACGAGTTAAGTCATGAAACCGACTTCATCTACTCCCAGGAAGGAGCGTACCCTGAATCATATAGAGCTCTGATTACTCTATCCCATTCATCACATTGCCAATAAAGAATGCTGCAACCTAATTAGTTTGAAAAGAATGAAGACAGTGGAAAAAGAGTTAAACGTTGAATATACTGCCAAATAACTTGAATTGCCAAAAATGGTGGATGGCTCTTTTACGTGCTTGCCGCACTTGCAGTATCTTACACATATTTAAGTGTTGACCTTGGTAATCTTTTGTGCATAAAAGCCCTCAACAGAATAAAGAGAATATGTAGAAAGATGATAATGTTCACTGAGGATATCTGCAACCTTTGTCTGGTAAGGGGCACCAATACATACCAGATGGCCACTAGGGCTCTACGAGCAATGAGGACGAATTAGAAAATGTGGAAATTAAAAGTGCGCAAAAAGTGAGGAAGGAAACATAGAGCAAGGACTTTCCACAGTGCCATTTTTTGTCTGCGGAGTAGAGAAATGTCCACAACCTCAAGATGTCGTGGACTTCAAGCAACGGCAACAACGACATTGCGTTTGGCTTTTCAGCAACACTCATACAGGGGCCTGCAGGGATCTCATCCTCGAGATCGTTGGCCAACTCTACGAATCTTCTCAACATCGGCGACTGTACAGCAGATGCTCCTATCGACTGTCCAGTGCAATTATGGCGGTAACAAAACGCCCGTAGAGAGCTCAGACCACCTAAACTCAAGCCATTCATACACCAACTTATTTGGCGGTGGCTTATTTACTGATATTTGTAGTGCTTGCTCCCGATCGGTGGGTCCTTCGACTTGTAGTAATGGTGATTAATGTAAAGGGGTATTTAAATTACAAGTAAAGCGATCTCATCTCCCCAATCACCGATCAGGATAGGAAAAGTAAACCAGTCTAGCTGCATGGTTTCTGGGATTACCGCGAAAACAACCACAAAAACAAACTCAAACCTAAATATCTTTGGGTTCATAGACGCGGAATTGGCATTTATTAGCGCCTAAGTATCAGCATCATCTTTCTAGTAGGCCTCAGATTAGAACCTGTTATAAGAGCAGCAGCATTATTCATGCTGCTTTTATTAGAACCCGTAGTCTGCCTACAATCCTCCTCTCTTCCAAAAGTTAATGTCTCAATTTGAACCTATTCTCTATTGAAGTGTAATCTTTTTGCTGTATAAAATGAAGCTATCCGCTTGCTCTGCACTGAACCACAGGTATACATCAAGATTGTGCTAATTTTCACCTAAAGTACTTTGCATAATAGTTTCATGTTTGACAACCAGAAATTCGTCTACCTAATAGGAAAAGAAGTCAGTTTGCCCTTAAAATCAGATATCAATAGCAGGTGCTATTTATTCATTTGTTTCCACAGTGCGGATTTTTTCGTATGAACGCAGTACAACAATGGGATGCTGTCTCGCCATTCAAATATCGCAATTCTGGACCGTAAATTTCGAGAAAACAACATCAGTGGAGAATAGATATGCATGAACAATTGCTAAATTGAAATGCGTTCATGTTGCAACAAACAATGAAAAACCCCAGCTTTAGCTACTAGCTTTACTACTTTCGATGCAGGCATTATGTGAAGAGTAGCCACTCACTAAGGAAAGACATAAAAACTACAATAAAAGCACATGAGTTGATTTAGTAAAACAAATAGTGTTAAAGTATCCAACAGCATATAGGCCTTACGTACGGCATGATTTGCCTGGGGCAAAGTTAAAGATGCGCAAGCTGGCCCTTGTTTGCAGAGAATAGGCGGAAAGTACAAGTATTTCCATCAGAAGGAAATCGGTCTTCGTGACATGACGCAGTTGATAATGCTTACGACTTGCAAAATCCCTTTCCTGTGGCGGAGAAGAGCATTCTTATCCACGCCTTCGTTCTGGAACAAAAATAACTTAGTTAATGAAAATAATATTTGCATCCAACCAAAAACCAAATGTAGCCATTTGTGTTACGCACATCAAGGAGCGCTAAATGGTGACTGCGTGTTTTATTCTACAAACAGGAAAAATGCGATCTGTGCTGCGAGGTCTGTAGAAGAGTATGCAGTGGACTGCACAATTTGAGGAAAACGACCAATTATTCCTATGATGCTATTGAAATGGTATAAGTAGCAACAAAGCGAAATTTAGAAACATTCCTGAAAAAAGACCCAATAATTGTTGTCATGACAACATATTCTCTGGCTGTATGGCTCAAAAATTATCCATTCTTAACTTGCTCTGGAACAGATTCAGTACTTTTTAAAACACCGTTAGCTTAGAAGTGGTAAAAAACGTTCTTGCAACCCTTGAATCTACCCGTTTGATCTTAGAAAACATATTTCATATATTAACAACTGAAGTGTGGCCATGTGAACCTGTGAAAGTTGAATGCAGTAAAGTAAGACTTCATTAGAGGACCCAAGAATATGGTAAGAGTAAAAATGAATTATCATTTGATAGCAAGCAATAAAGGTATGCATGTAGTGATGCGTGTTTAAAGTTCTTTGGTACAACAATTACGAATATCAACTCTGGCAATTACATTATCCCCACCTCGAAAGAGAAGAACAGAGCAAGGAAAGCCGCAATACCACTTAATATTAGGAAGCATACACCCAAAAAAATTGATCAAGAATATCATTAAAGAATTGGTAAACTCACTCTCGTGGACCGTAGAAACGTGTCTGTTTAAGTGTCCTTTACAGGAGAAGGCTTTACCACAATTTTGGCAGGTGAAGGGCCTCCTTTCTAACAGAAATGTAAAAGCAATACAAAGCAAAGCGCGGCTAGATATTAAGGAATGAGTATCCAAATGTAGATTGGGATAAGCAGATAAACATCAGTTAACTCACTCTCATGAACCACAGAAATATGTGCGTTTGAATTATAGCGCCGCTTGAAGGCTTTACCGCAATTCTCGCACCTGAATGGCCTCTCATCTAAAGGCAATGTTAAAGTAATAAGATAGATAATGTACTTGGTTATCAGAAAATGCATATTTAATTGTTGATTAAGGTTATTACACTGAAACTGATCAACCCACTCTCATGAACCGCAGAAACGTGTGCGTTTAAAAAGCTTCGACGGGAGAAGGCTTTACCACAACTCTGACAAGTAAATGGCCTCCTTCCTAAAAGCAGTGTAAAATTAGTATAAAGCAAATTATGGCTGAACATTAAGAAACAAGCACAAGAAAGTAGATAAGGATAAGTAAGTAAACAACACTTCACTCACTCTCATGAACGGCAGAAATGTGTCTGTTTAAATTACATTGCTGCGTAAAGGATTCACCACAATTCTCGCACCTGAATGGTCTCTCCTCTAAAGGTGATGAAAAGTAATGAGAAGCAAAGTGCATTTGTGTATCATAAAAAAGCGCACTTATATATTGATCAAGGCTACCATGTTAAAATTAATCAACCCACTCTCATGAACCGCAGAAATGTGTTTGTCTAGATCGCCTCGACGGCAGAAGCCTTTACTGCACTTCTGGCAAGTGAACGACTTCCTTCCTAAAAGTAGTGTAAAAGTAATAAAAATAAAGTGCTTTCCAATATCAAGATTAGTATTTAAAAAAAAAAACAACTCACTCTCATGAACCACAGATATGTGTTCGTTTAAACGGCATCGGCGCAAAAAAGATTTGTTACAATGCGAGCAGGCGAAGGCTCTTTTCACTACAAAACACTAGTACCAAATAGAATCCCCTCTAAATAAGTTTATAAAAGTCAAAAGAATATGTTATTCAGTGAATGATCGCCAAAATTGGTCATAAATATCATCCAGAAATGATTCAAACCAATGATTCAGGCTCGTAAAAAGCGGCGATTTAAAGAGATAAGACTCGAGAATGTGTTTGCACTGCTGGCACCCAAGCACCATCCAATAATACCAAAAAATAACTCTTTATCAATAAAGTTGACTTACTCTTATGAACCCTTGAAACGTGACGGTTCAAAGTGCTGCTATCCAAAAACGTCCGATCGCAATGTTGGCACTTCGACGGCCTCCCTTTTAAAAAACAGCAAAGACATTTAGAACAAATACGAAATCTTAACATAAACTTATAAATGGCTAAAATATGACCAATGGAATCACTCCTGTTTAAAAGAGCTAAAATGCCCTAAATGTGTAAGTAGAATAAAATCAGTTGTTTGGCAAATCGACTAATCACGGGTGCAACAACAGCCGATGAAGCACAATGTAGAGGAATGGAATGCCTTCTGACTAGGAATACTGCACTGACATCTACATGGCCTCTGCAAATCTTGCATTGACTAGTTGCTTCCCCACAATTTCTTTAGTACCTCCAGGATTATACAATGTCATTTGTTTAGTCAGATTAGAGCATTCCTTAGGCACGTGCTTCAATTGTTTGTGCCTTCCGAAAATCTTCTTTCTGAGCTACGCTTTGTCGCATGTACCCATTTTGTATGAAGTGGATTGCAGGCAAACTGTTCATAAATTTTGGACTCACATAACCGGAAGACTACGGCATCACAACAGATTCGCACAGGCCAGTATCTCTTTGCATTACGCAACATAGGCACTGCCGAACGCAAGAAGTTAACATGATATACTAGGCTAAAAAAGTTTGCTTCCGTTTGTCACTACGCTACTTGCATCTTTTACAAAGCGGCTACATCGCCTGAATAAGTGACAGAATTCCTGCCATGCACACATGGAATGCACAAGAGCACAAGCCATGGTATTTGTTCACCGCAGCAAAGTACAATGGGAACTTACTTTGGTGAAAAATCTCCTTATGTCGTGTTAGATACGTACGCTGGGAAAAACGCTTCCCACATATGCGACACTGGTGCGGGTCCACATCTAGCGAATTGCAAAAGCATCAATCAAATCAAAGGACAGGCAAATCTCTGACAAGATTTTACTCAATAAGTGCGGTAGTAAAGCATCTAAGGTGTCAAACTAAAGTGATCAACTTGTCCAAGGGACTGGATTTCATTCACCTTGACATGAACGCATACACGAGTTAAATGCAAGGGAATAGAGAATGGCAAACTAAAAAGTACATAGAAAACACGGATGTAGAAGTAAAACTGACATGCTATCCTGGGCATAGACTTTTTACTGAGAGCACACGCCATTTCGAAAACTGGCCTTGAAAAGTGAAGTCTAAATAACCACACATCTAAACAAACTAAACGAAAATAATTTACCTTTTTGCTTGTGATAACTTGTAGTAAAAAAGAAGGCTAAAGTCTGACAAGTTTTCTTTTAATTTTTCTTCGCCTCTGTTTAGGATCATTGTTTTGCTGATTGTGGCCAGTAAATGTGATGCAGTGGTGTAAAATGGCTCCATCAGCCGTGGATTGTTGCACATGGTAAAGTTACTCATGCCACATGGACATCTTTAAAATTTGAAACAGATGTAAGGAAACAGTCATCATACTTCATTGCAAACATTAAAGCAGTCAGTTCATCCATTGCTTACTTTGGCGCTATCGTAAATTATAATTGCGTGGGCCATCACCGAGGCCCTCACTAACACATCGATCATTGTGCTACCCCGAGATTATACCACTATTTGCCTGAGGTGATTAGAATGATCATGACCTGGGAATAAAATTAGGGATAACGTCCAGCGTAATAATGCTTTGCGACACTTAGCTGGGTTTCGAAACCGTCAGTCATTGGAAACAGGCTACAAGTTGCATTGCCTGCATTGCTGCTTTAAGCAAGGTAGTTTGATTTAGCAAGAGAGTGCTGCAAAGGAGGAGAAGATACCTAGAACCTCATTGCGATTTGCTCCTTTTGCAATCTGCAATTTGGGACATAGTGAAAGGCCTCTGTAAACCAGCGTGACCTCAAATGGGAAACGTCAGAACTCTCAACAACTGCGATGCGCTAGCTGTTTAACCTAGTGAGAAGTGTAAGGACGCTACACTTGCTCCATATTCAGCACCAAATTGATCGACTGCGATGGAAGAGAATCAACAAATCCAAGGGCAGATGCTATCATCCCACACCGGCGTTACTTAGGGAAAAGAAATGCACAGCAAGATTTGATTTAAACAGCCCAATTCACTTTGCACATCCATTCGGCAACGCCGACAACTTTTATGAGTGCTTCTAGAGCCTGCCATTGTGAAGTCACTGGCAGTGGGATTTTACCTTACTTCCATTCGAACTTTCTGCTGGAACCGGTAAAGTCCTCAATGCAGTTATTCATACCAGACGAAAGTTGACCATTCGACCGTGTTGGTAGAGTGGCCACAAACGGATACGTTGAGGTGCGCTGTTCGGGTTACTCCACATTAACTCACCAAAGGCCTTAGAACGCTGTCGAAAGCAGCTTCCGCTAACGACACCGGATTGATAGATTGGGTAAAGGAGTGGTTCGCATTTATCAACTTGTGGCTGGTCAAATAATACCGACAAGTAAAAGACCATAGCATGCAATGTACCAATTCCTTCGACGTGCGCCTTTGAAAAGGGGTGCTTTATTTATTCATGAAAACTCAACATCATCCGGCAGTAGAGATCCCTCAGAATGCATGCCGACTGATTCATAGTGGACCGTATCTAGACTGGTGGAAAGAGTTGGGATGAGCGTAAGTATCCGAACCGGTTGGAAAGGTAATCGGTTCTAGTAGTGGATGCATCCCAAGAGAAATCAATTCAGTGCCAAGTTCCACGATGACGACTGACAATCCATATCACATACGCATCAGTTCTCATCTCCTCCTCACCAATTCCCTCCGCCCTTCCCTCAGCAAGACTCCCAATATCGGCAACAACGCATAAGTATTAAGTCTAGTTAAACTGTAGGAAGTCAGTACGCATACAATCAAGCACATATATGCACGGAACCCCAAAAAGAAGACGAAAATAGAGTAGAATATGAAAACTGTTCCGTAAGGAAATAGGCTCAATTCAAACCAAAGTGGCAGATCTCATCTCCACTCCCACCACATTGTCCATCGTTTCATGAATACCACGTCAAGTCCCACCGTCCCAGTCATCGAACTCTCAAACAACTGAGAAGATACTTGACCTAGCGAATCTGCAGTTGCTTACTCCGTGAAACTGAATTCGGGAAAAGAGGATATGTACTGGCCATTACACGTGTCCATAACTAGTCGTAGGATCACTAACCTAAAGGTAGTGAAAGAAAATCTTCTGTCAATACAACAGTCTCAAGACCATCTTATCGACGGAATAATTAAGCCCAGAAATAACCGGTAGTCAGAAATCTGCCCACGCATCGGCCCACCCACCACCACCTGCATCGCAGGCATGTGACAAACCCACCTACTTGCCTCGGCATCAACTCACAGACGACCGTTAAAAAACAGAAACAAGCAAACCCCGAAATCACACAATTACATATGGGAAAACAGAATCCATAGAAGGCAGTTAGGCGTGGAGTCACTGAGCATTTCTAGTTTCTCTTGGCATCACGTCGCCTCAGTTACAGGAATACATGCATGTGGTTTCTATTAGGTGAAATGTACTGACTGCAAGAAGACGAGGAATCGCGACAAATTTCCGTCCAATGCATCATATGGCAGCCAAACGATTGTTGTCCGTTTCGTTTCGAATACATCTAATGCAACTACAAACAAGGACAAGGAGGGACTGGCTAGTTTACGTCTCTACAAGATGAGGCCAGCATAAAACTGATCAATGAAGTTTCAACTCGTGAAATAAAGGAGAATAACCATTTGGAGTACGAAGTGTTCCATATGCACGATATATTCCACCAAGTTAGAAATGGCACGACAGCTTAAGTAATGCAACCTCTGCCATGCACTTGCGGTTACTGAATAAACGATAAGTGTCACCCATAACACAGACAGTGAATCTATTAGTGAGCATAATATATAACAAAACTCATTAATTGCAATATATTCTTACCTGAGCATATGATCCAGGATCCATGAGAGACTAATTATTTTACTGTAAAGCCATTTCAATGACAAGTGCTTTGCGCCCAGTAATAAAATAGGCGAGATTAGCATTTAATGTTGTTCCGTAAGGACTCCGTGCTTATCAGATAATGCTCGAAGGAAAAAATGCACTTTTGCAGAAATAGGAGACCGCAATTTCTTGGGTACCGAGTGGAACCAAAAACTTAATAGGTTGTCCTATTTATTTAGCAAATAACACCACATTTACTGAAATCCTTCCTTATAAAATAGCAGAGCATTCAACATACCTCAAGGACAATTCGAACTAATCGCTTTAAGTATGGCTCAGCATAAATTTATGTGAGCGAGATTTATCTTTGAACAATAAAAAGTCACAGATTTTTTGTTACCTATTTGATGCCTAAATCTAGTCTTAAAGCGGTGAAGTAAATGATACGTATACATGAATACAACCACATAATAAAAAGCTAAAATGTCAAAAGGTTTATTACCAAAATTGTTGAATCATAGCATGGCAGTTGCCAAAAAAGTAGGATCTAAACAAGAAGTCTAACATGTTAATACTGTATAAGCAAATGTAAATTTTTGCGAAGCATTTAGACTGAAATTCATATGATTCGTACTGAACCACATCATGACGCGCCTGATTTATACCTCAATCTATCTTGATAACTTCAGTTTTGCTTGTGCCCTAAAAAAATCAAACACAGGGAGAAATTACGGCTCATATGGCCACAAGGCATGAATTCGTCTCGTGGACTATGCACGCACAAACAAACACTCTTACCCTTCATTCAATTGCAAAGCTGCGCACTCTACGCTCTCGGGCTTGGAAGTGCTTGCTCGGTGGGAGGTGAGGCGACCAAAAGCCAGTATCTTGCCCGTCTGCCACAGTCCACGTCCAGCCAAGCGCACCACGATGCCGATCCGACGCAGTAGAAGAATAATTAGTGCCTTAAAATTGAATCCTTTTTTAACTTTTCCCATTTTGATTTTTGGGTGTCTTTTTTTTACTTTTCTTCACATTTCATTTATCTTTTGGGTCTGTCCGTCGTAGTCATGAATTACATAATTCTATATTTTGAAAACGCGTTTTTTTGGTCATGCCTTTTGTGTTGACAGCGTATTCCCCAAAGCTTTTCATGTAATGACAGGAAACTAGTGAATGTTATATTTGCGCTTAATTTGGCATTAAATCTTTAGGTCTTGCTTACTCTTATCCGATTTACTAAAATTCGAGCTATAGTTTTATTTCCCCAAACTGTCATCCACTTACGGTTTTACTCGTTGAATCCAGCTTTCTCTAGCCAGCACTTTCCTAATTAGAGCTAAAATATTTAAGAGCATGCTCTAAATTTGCGTTAAATTCGGCATATAATCAAAAAACTAAGCTTATTCTCTTCGACATTACCAAAAGCGGTCCAAAACTTCGAAAAAATGTCCTAAATTGGCATTCAATTCGGCATATAATCGTTTTAATTAGCTTACTTTAGTCAGCATTGCCATAAGTGGTGTAAATTTATTCAAGAGAATGTCTTACATTTGCATTCAATTTTGCAGGCTCACGAAGAAATGAGATCAACCCAGTTGGAATTGCCGCAGTCAGTGGTAAATTATTCAAGGGCCAGTCTTATATTTCATTAAATACGGCATGAAACCGATGCACCGTCCCTAATCTTGCCAGCACCAATGTAAATAGAGCCAAATTGTTCAAACGCATACCTTACATTCTCATTCAATTTGGCATGACACCGATGAATTGAGCTTATTGCAGTTAGCACTAACGTAAACAGAGTTAAATCATTCAAGTGCTAACCCTAAATTCGCCTTTAATTCGGCATGTTTTCGATAAAGTCTACGTAGTTTACCCAATATTATCGAAACGAGGGCTGACTTATTCAATAGCATATCTTCGATTTGTATCAAATCTTACAGGCGCTCGACGAATTAACATTAACCCAGGCAGCGTTGCTGGGAAAATAGATGAATTATTCAAAAGCAAATCTCAAATTCGTCTTCACATCGTCCTTACCGTAACTATTCATTACCTACTCAACTCACATGCATACAAGGTCCAGAGGAAATCCGAATCTGCTACTCAGTACGCACCATTATCTAGAGAGTGCTCTTCAATTTCTGTGTGACTACATTGGCGCGGTCCTCGAGGCCCGAGGAGGGACCCACCATGGCACAGCCCTTTCTGCCGGACCGAAAATCAAAGGATGATGCAGGAGTAAGAAAATCACGAAGGTCCCAGTTTACCGATGTAAAATAATGCAACCCGTGTCTGAAACACGACGCAAACAGAGAAAACCGGTTCAATTTTCGCATCATACACGAGTCGTGAAGAGCAGTAAGGGGTTCAGTGCCTTTGATATCCTTGGAAATTTTCTCCTCTGTCAACACTGCTAACATAGTCTGCGAGGAATTCCAATGACTATAGCTGGAATGTTACCCCTTAGCACATATCCTACTCAGAATACTTTTAAGAGCCAATGTTCATCCTTGCGAATAATTATCACTTCTGCAAGTTGTAAACATAACTGCATAGAGATGAGTGCATTGGCTATGATGACAGCTAAAAAGTAAATTATCTTCCTCATTTTCACATCCGAATTACATTGTCTGCAAAATTTTACATGCAGTTGTGCGCGGCGGACATAGACGAACGGTAGAGAGCAAGTAGCAAAAAACAACAGAGCAAACGGAAGCAAAATGTTACTCGCACATATGGGCCTAAAAAATGAAGCAATGAACGGTATTGCTGTCATTTTGAAATCACTACGAGCTGGCTAGAATGTCTATGAATACTTGTCCAGGGGTAAAGGAATAAAAGCAATGTGAAGAAGAAAATAGATTACTCACAGAAGTCGACGCTAACTCAGCCTTGTCTCGAACGGTTGCGAGTGCATTCTTGGCGACAAACCGCAGAACACTCGGTAGAGGAAGGATGTCCATTACGCACTCCCTAACACTAAAAAGCATAGCTACGCATGGAATTTATCTGACATAACAACAATTACTTGTTATAGGCAGATATTCCAGATTCTCCTCTTTCCAAAGGTTTTTCGAAAGTCAAGCGATTCTCCTCTCCGACAAGTCCAAATAACGAAGACTGGAGGTTAGGACAGACTCCTTTGACACAAATAGCGAAGTTGCCAACAGCCCCTACTTCCGAGAGAGTCAAGTCAAATGCAATTAGTGCAGAGCCATGGCATCCGACCATATTCGGTTATTCCCAACATTCAACATAGACACATTCGCCAAGTCAAGGAAACGACTTTTAACCGGTGGCGGCACTACGTTCCTTATATGCAGACTGTCAAGGTGAAAAGGGAATAGCAAATGCCACAATCGATTCCTCCTAATCACCTGCATCCTTTAAAAAACGAGTTTGATAAAAAGACCTTTAGTGCACACCATAGATTCAAAACACACCCATTTGTATTTAGACATAGTTCAAATGTGTAGTCAAACAACCAAGTATATATTTAGCCAATTTATAGAAAAATAGAAAACAAAAAGCGTTGCCAAAAACTTAAAAAATTTAATTGTTACTGTATTATTGCCACAAAAATCGCATGCGTTATAATTAGGTGTTTGTGTATTTATTGAAGGATTGTTGAATTCAAGTAAATATTTTCTTACCTGTTGGTTTAGATTTTACATATTCTGCTTATTTAAGCACATCATTCGTAAATATATGGTCCAAAATTACTTGTGATGATAATACTTGGTGTCTGTATCCCCATTCTTCTACCATTTTACTCACGTATGCGTTTGCATATTTTCTACCTATCTATTTACCATCTTCTTGTATAACAACGCTTTTTTATAAGGTACATATTTGAGTTGCGCTACTGCAATGTAGGGGAGACAGACTCGCCTCCGAACAAAATTAGTCGAATTGTGTACATTGCACCTGTGGATCAGTGGTTCTAGCAAAACCAACAGAGTGGACCTATTTGCTTGCAAATTGGGTGCACTTGGGCTCGCCTATCTATCTTTACATGTTCCCATCCTCATTTAGCCAAATTGACCATATGCTGCTGTCGAATGCGAAAATGTGGTGATGTTTTCACTGATCATGCTATTGACAAGACCACGTTCGATTAATGATGAGTGGTTAAAGCCGAGGTCACAAATCTTCATATTTTTTGCAATACATATTCGAGTGCATAGCTTTTTGGGAAAGTAAAACTGCGACAGATGGGGATAGTTTATGAATGCGATCGGCACAGTTAGTAGATTTAACGAAACCCCTTTGCAGGCTTGTCAATTGCCTTCGAATGTGAGTATCGAAGGATCGTATTTTGGCCTATTCTTGGTTGATATTAGCTTGACTGAGCAGGCCTCATTGACATCCCTTAGAATGACTGTTGACCTTGAGTTGGGCTAATGAAAAATTTGGGCAATCACCATCATCGTTGACGAAGCGAAATACGGTGTCGTTGGATTGGTCATCCCAACGGACAAATTTTTCTGCACCCAAGCTATTTTGCATTGGTTTAACACTGAGATTGGCCTTTTAAACGTTAACTCTAAATTATAAAATAGGAGCTGTATTTTGCTTCTTAAAAGTTGTTAGTTTATAACCCGACAAGTCCTGATTTGAAATGAGTGTTGTCAGTGTGGATGCTATAGTGAGTGAGTGAATGGGTCAAGCGCTCCTCTACGAGAACATGCTGCCTTGGATGCTAAGCGCTCGAGATTGGCACCTTCTACCGCTTCACATCTCCGCTGTTGGTCTATACAGCTGGTGTCGGGAACGCCTCTTTCCCTGTTGCACCTCGATCTTCATCGCCGCCTTCTCGGCAACTCCTGCAAATGGCGACTGGTGGTTATGATGATGAGAAAGAGAAGGTGGAGAAGGAAGGTCCTGTTGAAAGTGTAAAGCAGCGGAAAGAACTTTCCAAACTTAACGAGGTAGGTTGATAAACTGTTTTGTAATGGGCTTCTTGTTCCTAAAGTAGTATTCTGAATATCATGTAATGATGCTTGGGCCATTAAGCCCCCTTTTATCATTTTTGCTGTGTAAAATAGTCAAGTGTTGCTGGATTGCAGAAATGTACCACGAAGCCCTTCTAGAAGGAGATAGGGATGAGCCTAAAACACATAGTAACACGACTTTAGAGACATTCAATTTAAATTATGAAATGTCCATTCTTTGCAGGATTAAATTTTAATTACCAATTTTTGACAAGGAGGGCAATTCATTCGCAAGTCTGCAAATTTTGTCCTACCGCAGTTAAGATTGCATATTAAGTAGTCTATGCTAAATGGCAAAAGATCGCCCATGGCGTATTTCACATTATCATTACATCGTTATTAATATTTTTGCGAGAGAAAGGCTTTATTTATAAACAGGTCTTATTTCAGCTATGAGATATTCAGCGCTGGTTAATTTTCTACCCACTATATTTAAGTAGCAATTATTTTGGCGCCTCACTGTCGACCTGCTTAGGGCACCTTAGAAGTGAAATCGATGGGCACGGTCTCGGTTTTCCGTAGATTTTCATGACAGTGATGTGCTCTCTACCTCACCCTATAAGGCACGCTAATGTCGCTTCCAATGCTCACGGTTATACGCACTTTGCAGTCCTTGGCGTGGTAAACCTAGCACACGGCTCCGACTCTAATCACATGCCAATATCCCCTCACTCTCTTCCTTATTTCCTCTGCCCCTCTCAAAAGTCGACGACAGCTTTGTTGCTCAGATTATTATTAGTGCATTCACTTTGTTTGTTTATCAATCTTTATGTCAACCGTAAATAAGTGCAATTAGCGAATTACGATTCTTCAATCGTAACAATTATTCTCAAAATAGAAATGTGAAGAACTCTTTCTCCAGCAATGAGCCGCACCGTTGCGGGGTTTGCCGTGCCTGGTGCCGCATAGTCACGGAGCGTTTTGTCAGTCCAGATGCTGTCATGCAACATTTGCACGACCTCTTGCTCGAGAAGACTAACATCTCCTGTAAGGAGGGTTTTCACTGACCACCAGGCGCTTTTAGTCACTTTACCTTATCACTTGGCGTTTTAAGTCATTCATGGAAATCTACTCACTTTAGATGCAAGAATATGCTTAACCTGTTTAAAATAAGCCAATTAGGTTTTCAACGTGTGGATTCTCAGAGCATCAATTTAGCTCTCCGTTACACGCGAATCCAGTAATGTCCCGCCTCCATTGCACCACTTCTTAGTTGTCTCTTTTAAAGCCATATTGCCCTCTTTATATGGCTGAGTTCGTCTTGCCCTAATGGTGAAGTAAATATTCCTGATTGAATGGTACCAGTAGTACTGGAAAGGCCATTCGTTATAACCTTTTAATTATGCCTTGATTTATGGGATCCAGTCAGTTATCAATTAAAGGGCTCTCTCTAAACAACGGTGTGCTTCGGGTGGCGGATTGGAATTCCACCTCGATCTTGTATATATATGAACTGAGAAGGTAATGATTACCCACAGTAAAATTGACTGCAATCTGTTTTTTTTGCTAATTTCCTTTACTTTAGTAAATAAATCACTCCTTATGGTGAAATTGGGTCCTCTTTGCTGCATTGTATTTTAGCAAGGCTACTTGTTCACGCGTCCTGTGTGTGACATAAACAAAGCTTTAAATCTCAATTCCATTTTGAATGTCAAACACAGGGTGATCCCGTTGCTGCTAGCCCTGACTCCAGTTATGATGGCCAATATTACAAAAGTTTTTAAGGTAGATCTTTAATTACAGATATGTCTCAGATTCTCTATTCAAAAAAGACATCCATTGCCTAGGACCCATCTGTGCATCAGGTTTCAATGTGCGTCTTAAATTGGCTTTATTGTTAATGTTGGGAATGAAGAATTGCAGGTGGGAACTTCAAACCCTTCGACATCTCCGTAGACTGGATTCTTTGCTCCTCGTCATGAGGTATAATTTGTAAGAATATTTTTTGACAAATGGTGGCTAGATCAACCAGTTAACTTCCGAGACAGTTTATTAATCGCGTCATACTCACGAAATGCATCTCTCTTTTGACTGACGTGCTACTGCTGCAATTTGAAGTGTGTACGGCAGGCGTCAAGTATTTGTGACATGTATTCTTTGCGCAAAATTTATTCTAGTTTCCTTGTAGCGCCCTTCAGCAGATCCATTCTAAACGATTTCCTTAATAAACAAAACTTGCTGTTAGTTTTAATTGAATAAGATGCGAAGAAAAATGGGGAAAAGGTGCTGGTGACATAAGAATGAAGGTGGGCAGTGTTGAGTCGATCAAATTAGAATCTCCAAGTAGAACGCATTTCGTTGTAGGACGTGCACTAGTTACACGTCTCTTTCTCGGACCAGATGGATCACGGTGCACCGAAGAGACGGTTCTGCGAGGTTTTGAGGATCTGTTTACGGTCTCCCGCCTTCTTCCCTTTCCGCCTCTGCCAATAGTGATATGTCTGCTGCCGCCGTTGCCACCACCACCACTAATGGAGTAAAGCGCTTTGGCCAGTTTCGTATCCATCTCCTTTTAAGTATTCACTGTATAACTATTTTTTGCACTAAACACTCCTACCATGGCAAATTGCGTCTTGCCCCCTAAGCCTGCACCATTCTCTTTCCCAGTGGGTTGAAACAAAAAGTCTCTTTTATTTTTATTTTAATTAAATAATTTTAGGTGGTTTTTTTGCTGGTAGAAAGGTCTTGAAGATTGTACACGAAGGAAGTGTTATCCAAAGAAAAGGCGGCGTACCGCCACTCAATGGAGCCGGTGCTGAGTGACGAGTTTTGTAAAACGGAGGGTCTCACCGGAATCCTTTGTACTCATTGTCATATGGGGGCGTTGCGAAAGCTCAGGGCGATGGTGAACGGCTTGTCACCGCCCTTGTCTGATGGCAGCTGCATTCGTCAATTTGTCACTTGTACCCATGTTGTTCGATTGTTCTACCTCGACGGCAACAAAAACAAATACACCGAATCCGTCACCTCCGCTAACCTATATCTCTCGCCCTGTCTTGTTTCTGAGCCTACATTCGTATATCAGTTAAGGGTTTTAGGCAAATTTGTTGAGACAGAGGGCGATTTGAGCCATTTTATGGGTGCCTAAGATGGTGCAAGCAGCAATGTGGTGTTCAAAATGTATCCGAAGGATAATGTAATTTTCAAGAGACTTTTGAGACTCTCTACTGCTTTTACTTAGAGTAACAGAGTCTGATTACAAAGAACCGGTTAACTTGGGGGTAAAACTGTGAGTCTTATCTAGTACGATAAGAATTCACCTCCAGTTATTCGCTGCATCTAGCCGTCTGTTCCTACGGTGAAACCCTTGCTTTACTCAGTCATTCCTTTTTAATAAAGTTGTTTGGAGTTAAAAAGAATATAGAAAATTTTCTCCTCCTATCTCAATTTCCGAAAAGCGGTTTCCACTACTAACTTGGCGCCGCTTCGTTGCCATAAAGCTCTTAAGTGGCAGAAGCATTCATAACTTTGGTGGATTTGGGGAACCATTACATGAAGGTAGCATATTAACCTTTCACTCGAGAAAGTTGACGTATCCTTCGTTCCTTTGGTGGAGGCTGGTCACACCCCAACATTCGCTTGGAAGCGATATTAGAATATTTGAGGTTTCGTCACACCTCCAGCGTATCTCTCCCCCCCTGTCCCTGTTGAGGTGGAATTGGATTTAAATCCAGGTAGGCAGAGACTTCTGTCTTCAAGCCGTGCTTTGAGCAAAGTTGAAGGGAGACGATGACATTCCGCTAAGCTGCCTCAGAAGACCAAAGTGACGATTTCATGGCAAGAGGCCGCTTTACTGTGAAACTAAAGCCAATTGGGCACTTTAAAATCCCCGTTTTTAGGCAGGAGACGTTTAAAAGCACATTATTTGCAGATGTCGAAATCACTATGCTTGTGTTAAAGAGCAAGACGCATGAGATCATCAAGTTCAGTGAAAGGGTTTAAGAGGCGAAGGTCGATGCATTTCATAAGGATTAGAAAGAGGTGCAAAAGGAGTAAGAGAGAGGGTACATTAGACGCAGCAGTCATTAAGCTTTGAATTGACCGTGATTGGATGCAAATTGTTAGCACCATTTCGACCGCACTGTATCCCTAGCCGTCACACATTTGTGCCGTTCTGTTCACACTAAGTATTGGGTGCCAACCATAGAATGGATGCAAATAACAACACTACCATGATATCCACAGCCACAAAATAACACAAGTGTAGCTTTAGTAAAAAAAAATAAATTATATTTAAGACATGCTGTATTAGATCACTGCCACAGAATAATCTGCAGATTTTAAATAAGCATTAAAATTTACACGTTTAATGCCATGAATTTCCGAGGCTATACCCTTTTCTACCATGTTTAGCAAAGAGTGAATTGAAAATGTTACACTTTGCTTCCGCTGGTGTTTCTTGCATGCTCGTTGGCGATCATGCGAATAATGTATATGCGACTTATCATCTCCAAGGCATGTGTTATTTAGCTAAACTTCACTATTTTGGTGGTGGTGGTGGTGGTGGTGGTGGTGGTGGTGGTGGTGATGGTGGTGGTGGTGGTACTGGAAGAGGCGGTCCCCCGTCTATAAATT